TACTTTTAAGACCTCAGGCTATCCTCAACTAAACAAGAATGTAGACTTTGTAGACTGTGTTGGGTTAATTAACTGAATGGACTTAGATTTTGGTCCTGTTTACAAACCCAATTCTGTGAGGTATTATGTCTACGAGGTATCTTACTGTGCTTTCTATGTATCTTACTACACACACATACATGCATATGCATATATAGACACACACATATATGTATTTATACCTATGAATATATGATGTGACTTAAAAAATCATGGAAACGGAATGAAAATACATTGGGACTTTCCCATGAACTTTTTAAAGCCCCTCAATTGTAAAGCACATACAAACATGTATTTATTGACATCTACAGGTACACCTATACATGTATACTTTGATATACCGTTATATAGGTATGCATATGCAGTCAGCCCTCCGTATTCATGGCTTTCTGCATCTGTAACTTAGCCATCCAGGGAGAGAAAATAGTCTTTAAAACAGGCCAAACCAAACCAAACTTACTATCATCAAGTCGATGCTGACTCATAGCCACCCTCCTTTGGGTTTCCAACACTGGTATCTGTTTACAAGAGTAGAAAGCCCTGTTTTTCTCCTGCTTGAAAATGGGGAGGGCTTCTAAGAAAAGAATTCATTGGTTAAAGCAGTCGCTCAAAGGCTAAGAGAGAGTGTAAAGTGCTACGTACATAGCATTTACATGGTATTATAAGTAATCTAGAGATGGTTTAAAGCGTATAGGAGGATGTGCATAGGTTATATATGGGATATGGGCACCTTCAATTTTGGAACTCATGGGTGTGCCCTGGGACCAATCTTTCACAGATACCAAGGAGACATCCCTATAGCTACCTATGTAACAAACTACTCATGTCCTTTTTGGTTGTTATTACTGTTGGTGCCAAGTTGTCTGTGTTACAAGGGAGCTTCAAAAAGTTCATGGAAAAAATTTATCATCTTTTCAGTCCATTGTACTATGAACTTTTTGAAGTCCCTTTGTGTGTTATATACTGAAAAGGTCCCTGAATTCTGTGTATATCTTGTCATTATTTGCTTTGGTTAATTTATACACACTTGGCTGCATTCAATATTGCCTTTCTCGCTGCCAAAAATAACAAGTGTCTGCTCTTTGAAGAGTGAGCCCTGGTGGCCCTGTGGTCAGCATTTTGAAACCACCA